GAAGGAAGCAGGATTAAGTGGAGGATAAGGTGAACTGTGATGTAGTCCAGACCTCAGCTGAGGCTATGGGAGTGGGCTGGGATGGCCCTGCAGAATTGACTCATCTTGACCTTTTACCCCCATGCAGATCCATCCTTGAATGCAGGCATCCCAGGGAACTGGTGTAACTTTGAGTGAAGAAACTCTTTTCAATCCTTAAAAAGGGCAGACATGTAGAGGCTTTGGGACCAGCAGCCTTCATTCCTTAGGGAGAATCTGTGGGAAACATCATGGGGCCATCTTTCTAGGACTCTTGCTTCCTCCAGAGAAGGAGATAATAGATCAAATGGTTCTATGCTAAGTCCTGTAATGCCTCAAAGAATGTGGACTGAACCCAATTCAGGAGCAGCTACATAGCAGGTACCTTTTCAAACTGGACCCTGGACAGATAATATTCCTTTTCATGTCAGCCTGCTGTATACTGATATGTGTATTCTGACAGAAACTAATGTTAAAACAGAGGCTTAGAATTATTTTATAAGGCAATGGTTCTAGAATATGGGCATGATTATCAATTGATTATTCAATTTTTTTGTATTTTTTGTATTTCTGCAGAATCAAGATGGTGCATCAATTTTTTCTTTTAAGTATTACATATTTAAGTATAAAGTCAACCCCTTCCAGTGAGAGAATCCTTGGAGCCTCCATTAACTCCAGCATGGAATAATGGCTAGCAGAAGACTGGTCTCTAGAGCCAGACTGCCTGCCTAAATTTCTCCAATTCCACCACATTCAGATTGTGTGACAGTAGGTCTCAGGTTATCAGAATTATGCCAGAAACTGCCTGTGAGGGTGGTTGGAGATTTTCACTTTAAGATACTACTCAAAATATATACCTTTTGGTTTGTTTTCCTCCCTAACTCATACCCTTCTGTATGTCATCCTTTTGGATCACCTGGAACCTCCTGACCTTTTTTCTTGTAAAGACTCCCTGTATCTTTAAACCACTGTAGAATGATCTGCAGTCCTCCTATAGGGACACTTTTTCTTGAGTTAGGCACTTTCCAGTGGGGGGTTGCTCTTTCTCCTATAGTCTACATAACCTTTATCTGGGAGGGGGAATGAAAATTGTCCTTAATCCCCTTTCCTGTGCCTAGATCCTAGGTCATTTGCCTTGTGTAAAAATCCTTGCTGATTTGGGCTCTGCCATCCACATAATCCACCCTACACCCCTATGGATTACTGTCATCATTGATTTGATCTTTTTCTCACATTATGGAAAACCTTGGATCTTGGTTCACGGTCTTCTTCTCTAGGTCAACATCTAAGACCCCAAAAGTGAACTGGACATCCTATAGGTAAACCCAGATGTGGCAGGTCTAGGGCTTCTTTATCTCAGAACCATTTCCAGTCATTCCCATTGCCCTATACCATCTTGTACACCTTTTAGCCCCAAACCAATTCACCTCTGAAAACTTCAATGACAATAGCCTACTGTCTTGGTTTGAGTCTCCTGAAAAGCAGACTCTGAAGAAGAATTCCAATACAGGTAGTTTATATGGGTGCTAACCCCAGCCAATGTGGTGGGTGGAGACAAGAAAGGAAAGAGTATGGTGCTAAACAAATTCTGAGTGTGGGTAATTGGAACTTATTCCCACTTATTAGGGAACTCTGAGAGGTAGAGTAGAACATCCTCAGAGTTATCTCACCTCATTTAAACCAAAGGAGTTGGGCTACAAAGCCACCAATTTTCATTAGCCACTGGCTGCAAATTGCTTCTAGGGGCATTACCTGCCCATTGTTTATGGCCTGACAGGTATGTGAGACAAAAGCAGATGACAATCTGGCCAGAGTAGATCGCGTAGAAATGAGAGTTGCTGTGTGGATATTGGGGCACATTGAAAGCATTCACTTCACCTACCATTTCAGTCTCTTAAGCCTGCATTCCCCTTAAACATGCTTCTCATCTTTATTGAGGCCTCTGATATATACCTCACTCATCTGTTTTTAGCTAACTACTGGCTTCCTAGGGACCACAATTCCTTCCAGATGGAGCCTGGATCCCAAGGACAATTAGATCTTCTTTCTCTAAGCCACTCAACCTCATTGTCTTGTTATGTTTTTGTGTATATCCTTTTTATTGTTTTTCATTTTTAACCACAATTTTGTATTTCCCAACTAAGCTCAGACTATGATGGCTAGAAAGAATTGCCCACCCAGGCAAACTGGAGCCACTACAAATTAATGGAAGCATCCTCAACTTATTTAATTATTTCTTTTTTCTTTTTTTTTCTTTTTTTTTTTTTTTGTCAAGTCTCTAATAACTCTTAGAATTTGTCTAAGCTTTCCCCCTTTTTCCTCACAACACCTTCTCAGCTTTTTGCTCCTTTTGTTTGCAGACAATGACACATAAAATTTTCTATAGAATTGTCTATGTTTACTTTTTGTCTTCTACTCATTCCTCAATTGTCCTGGTGTGACTTCTGGCTGCGTTACTCTTCTTTGTCCTCCTTGTCAATCCAATGAACATTTCTACTCTCATCTTTCTTAGCCACCTTTTCAGCCATCTCTTCTTTCTGAAAATGTTCTCACTCCTTGTTCTCTGTGCCATAAAGTTATCTCACTTTGCTATTCTGGCCATTTATCCTTTTCTCTTTGAAGTTTTATCATCTTCTTTCTAGCCATTGAATCTCTTAGCTCATCAAGATTCTACCTTGGGTTCTTTCTTTCTTGAAGCTATTGAAGAGGACAAGGTAGATCAGTGAAGAGGCTATTTCTGCAATCCTCTTCACCGATCTACCTTGTCCTCTCTGGGCTCTTTTAATCTATTCTTCAAATTGCAGCTAAAATAAACTTTATAAGATACAAATGTAATAGTATATGTTCAACCTCCTACCTACTTTAAAACTCTTCAATGGCTTCAATACTTTAAGGATTAAGATGAGCTTTTCTGGTGTATCCTGCAAGGACCTACCTGGTCTGGTCCTACTTGTCTCTAAGTTCACTATTTACCACACTCTGCCTTACGATTCTGTTCTAGCTGCACTTTTACACATGCTGAACCCTCTTTTTGTCTTTCTACTCTAGTTGACAAATTTGTGGATTGCAGTCATGTCACTTCATCAAGTAACATGTTCTACTGTGTCAGTAGAGTTTGACTTGTGAATAGTTAAGAGTAATTGACCACTCAGCAAGGAAGGCTTTGTTGACACCTATTTAAGTCAATACCTCTCATATAAACTCTTACTGAATAGTGTATTGTTCATAGCATCTATCACAGTTGCTAGTTTGCATTTATTTCATGATTGTTTGATTAATGACATGCCTGCCACTCTACCAGATCTTAAGTTCTAAGAAGACAAGTATGATACCTATTGTGTCAGCATACTTAGTAGGCACTCAGAACACAGTGACTGAAAGGACAACTTAATTAAAAAAGATTTATTTCTTTTTTCCTAAACAAAATAGTGTTCCTAGGTGTAACTGCCTTCCTTTTGTATCCTCAACTCTAATGAGCTTGCAATTTCAAAATCATGCTGTGGAATCCCCTGTTTGTTGATAGAGACAATCATCTTTGAGCTTCCATGGGCATTCCCTTTTCCCTTAGTCCTGGCAGGTGAGTCAGTAGGGACATGGGCTGAAAATTCTATTTTAAGGAGACATTCCACTTCATTTCCCCTGAGCTACTTACCTATCCTCTCTGGTTGTTTTCCTTTAAATTGAGGAGAGGGTCCAGACAATGGTGCAGGTGTAAAAATGCAACATTCTGCTAGGCTGACCCACATAAGAAGGTTCTGGGTTAGTATAAGGGGATCTTCCTGAATGTGCCCATGATCTGAGGCATGAGGATCCTTCTTCCTCATGCTCACTCATGGAAGGAAGAAAGAAGGATTCTTCAAGAAGTAATAATAAACTGTCAAAAAATTTGGGAGATTATTTTCCCCCAACATTTTATCAATTTATTTATTTACTTATTTATTTAGGTATTATTTCTGGGAAGATGAGGTCAGGAACCACCTTCCCATCTTTGGAGACACTTGAGATTTTCTGAGTAATGTTTATTATTATTATTATTGTTATTATTTTAATTTGCTATAAGGTGCATGTGCTTGCCAGAGACAGCGAAAGAGAAAAAGCACCCCCAAGGGAAGATGGCCACGCTGCAAACCCTTCTCCTTCTCCTCTTGGGATTTTAGGCACACAAGCACATGTGCCTGGTCTGGGACTCGAACAGTGCAGTTTGTCATGTGGGGTCTAGCTGCATTAACTACCATTGCCTTGGCTGGCCCAGACTTTTTAAAGATTTAGTATGAGCCCAGCCTGTGTGTACAGTCAGTAGCCTACTGAACTGCAGTGCTAGAAGACACACTGTTAACCGTAGGTTTGGATTCCAGCTTTGTTGATTTGAAACATGCTGGATGGGTGCATGCATGCCCAAAGTCATCACAAGTTGGAGAAGGGGATTGCGGTATGACCAGACTCTGTTGAGGATACCTTTTTTTCTCTCTCTCTCTTTCATGCATGCACTATCATGAATAAAACAAATTTAAAATAAAATAAAAGATTTAGTATGAGATTTTCCCTCCTTGTTTGTTTAAGGGTTTTTGATGTAATTTATTTCTCTCTCACCATGCTTTTCCTTATTTTCTTCATTGCCTTTTGTACCAGGCAATTTTTCATTTCATCATTTTACTCCAGAGTTAAATAATTGTTTCTTCCAGAAAAACTAATAATTTATTTTTCTTTCTTTTTAAAAAAATGTTACCTTATTATTTTTTAATTGCCAGAGAGCACTTACACCCTTTAGAGAGACAGAGAAGAGAGAGGCAACAAGGGAGAGGGCCAGAGGGAGACAGAGAGAGAAAGAGAGAAAGCACCTCCAGTATGGCATTGTCCTGTCACAATCCCTTCTCCTCTGTTTCTCCATCTTGTTGAGATATGGCGCTGCAAACATATACCTGGCATGTTTTTCAAGCCTCCAGGGACAGGATTCAAACTGTAGTTGGCCACTTGGAATCCAGCTCCTTTAACTGCTGGGCCATGGAGTCAGCCCTATTTTTTCCCTTGTAGTTAGCAATACTTCTCTAACCTGTGGAAAGAATTGAAAAGCAGAGTTACAAAATAACATCTGAGAATATTAACTTCTCTAGTGAAGGGCAAAAAATGTATACCTGGCTTATATTAGATAAGGATTTTACAGGTTTCCTTATTTTCTTTGGATCCCCAATGGACTTTTAAAGCTGTCTATGCCAACATTTTTGTAGTGTATATTAATAAATAAGAGCTTTGTATTTTTTAAATTCTAGCTCTGAAGGAGAAAACAGACATTGTGTTTAAGGTACACTATATCAACCATTATGATCAGATTCCAGTTCATTCTTTGATTTAGATCTTAAAGAATTAGTTGAAAGTAATTCTCTCCACTTCTACCTGCAGGGCACTTCGTGTATATATTATTGGTTGACCTAAGGGTCTATGAGTGTTGATCTAGTGATTCCTCTTTTAGGATTTGACTTCTTGACAGTGTGTAGGATTCTTGGATTTCCTCTCCTCCTCTCAAAATAGAATGGTGTGCCCTTACAATAATTTAGCCTCCACTTACATGTTTGGATGAAAAGTCAACAGATTCCTTCCTGTAATTCTCTCTAAATTACATTTGATTTGGTTTTTAAATGGTCTTGAAATAATACCTGGTGGGAAAACTTTAGTTCCAGAATTGGGCTTTAGAATATTTCCAGCGGTGTAATAGGATCCCCTTTCTAAGATTTTATAGAGTTAAGTAAAAGTATTTTTCCAGGGTTAACTAAAATCTCATTTGGAAGTCAGGCAATGAATTAACTATGGATTAGGGATTGTTGGGTTTCATACATAAGGTATTCTAGTCATTTGAGTATAAATCACTTGGTCTTGTCATGACACATGTCCAAATTCTTAGTTTGGAAAATACGATCCTTTTACTTGTTTGCTAGGGTTGACATCACACAATACTACACACTGGGTGATTTAGACAATACAAATTTATTTTCTTACAGTTCTGGAGGCTGAAAGCCCAAGATCAAGTTGTAGACAGGGTTGGTTTCCCCTGAGATCTATACATCTCTTTGATGTATAGACGGCTGTTTGTGCACGTACTAATCTGTCTTAATATTCTCTCTTTATAAGAGCACTAAACTTAATGAATTAGGTCCCATGCTAAGACTTTATTTTACGTCAATTATTTTTTAAAAACCTTAATTCTAAACACAGTTATAGTTTGAGGTGCTGGGGGTTAGGACTTCAGTATATGAATCATGTGTTGACATAATTCAAATGGTGGCAATTCCTATAAGACTGCTCATATCTGACCCTTAGTAGGTACTTGGACCTGAACTTCCTTGGGTCCTCATAGCCCTATTGATGTAGCTCTGTAGTGCACAGAAGACCTCAAGAGGTTGACATGCTAATTGGTACCACCAAAGACTAAGGTGTGTCTTAATCTCAGAAAAAATATGTATAAATGTTGTATAATGAACCTAAGAACTCATAGTGCCATAGATAACAAATAGCTTAGGTTAGTAGGACCTGGATGATAGTAAAATGATGAAACTTGACTCTCTGTGAGGATGACACACAAGGGAAGGTTCTGGATTCATTTATGAAGACCTCCCTGAATCTGTCAAGCACTGTGAGAGTCCATGATCCAAGGCTGGCTGATGCTGGGGGTGGATTGTGGCATGAAGACCATGTTCAGGGTGATTTCTCTATCCGTCTCTCTTTCTCTGTCTCTCTCTGTCACTCACAAAAGTAAATAAAGTTAAAAACAATAGCTTAGGCTAGCAATTGCAAAACATTAGGCTATCAACTATGATAAATGACATCTCAATATTTGGTAATTAATTAAAATGTGTAGAGTGATCCACACAATATTTTTTTCACCACTCATTATGAGGCAAGCACTTTGCTTTATTAAGAGAAGATGAATATCTCATGGCTCCTGTCCTTGAGGGGTTTCTAGTTTAGGCTCTCGATTGGATCGCAATCCAAATATAGCAGGGTCACAGATATGAGTGACCCAGTTGTCAGCCAGGCCATCTGCCATGCCCTGTTTAGATCAGATCAGATCTGCTCAAGCTCCCTGTACTGTGCACAGTGGAAATTCAATGATTTTGCTAAGCTGTCTATAGATTCCTGTCATGTTCCTAGTCACTTTTACTTTTACCTTCCAGAGCTTCTGGCTGATTTTTTGTCCTCTACCTTGTCTTGCAGCTGCTTCTTATATTTTTTCTTTTGAGTCACCCTAACATGGGCTCCAAGCCTTGATTATTTACTTTTTCCATTAAAATAGAATACATATAACTCAGCAATACATGGTAGTTGCTTCCTTTTTTCTCTGTGTACAAGGGAAGGACAAACAGAGAGGCAAACATAGGTTTGTTTTTGTTTTTGATTTAGAGAGAGATTTTTGCTATAGGAAGGATTTGCTTGCCAGAGAGACAGAAAGAGACAGAGACAGAAAGTGAGAAATCACTTCCCAGGCGGATGGCCACTCTACAATCCCTTCTCTTTCATTCACGTCCTGGGATCTTGGGCATGTGTGCACACACACCTGGCATCATGGCTAGCCATGTGGGAGTCTAGCAATATAATCACTATGCTGAGATAGGTATTTTTTGACAGGGTGATCCTCCTGCCCCAGCCTCCCAATTAGGTAGGATCACAGATGCATGCATCTGTACTCAACATATTCAGGTTGGCCCGGGAATTGAACCCAGGCTTCCCACACAGCCTCCAGTCTCTGAAACCATGGCACTATCTGTGGGTACTGTACTGGGTCTGTACATGGCAGCTCTTTGCTGGCAATTTGATGTAAAGGAAGTTACCCTATAGAGCCATAGAGCAATTAATCTATTGGGTTGTCAAAAAATTCATGATGCATTTTTGCATAGAAAAAAAATACATCATGACTTTTCTGACAGCCCAATACATTGAATAATAGACTCTCTTATTTTTCAGAATGTTAGTTGGGCATTTCCACAATTCTAATTTCATTTTGTCACTGTTTTGATGAAAACTCTGTCTTCTCCGCCTTCTTTTCTTCTCTCCTGTTCTTCTCATGCTCTGCTCTCCTCTTCCTCCCTCCCTCACTCAATTTAATTTTCTTCTATTAATTAAGCAGAATTGTTTAACTCTATTTTGGTAGTTAGTTGGCTTCCAAATTACACCCTCAAGGCCTTGCCTTCTATTTCTTAAACATAATTTCATTCCCAAAGTCAAACACTAGAGCTAACAGGGAATAATAAATTTTCTTAACAGGATACTCATGCAGAGAGATTAAATATTAGCATCTAAGCAAGACAAACTGTACAAAATCTGTGAACATTTAAGAAAAGATGGGATGGGTCATGCCTACAAGCATTTGAGACCTGTTGTAGGAGGAGGTGACATTTTTATATATGGCAAGGGGCACATGCTCACATGAGAGAGAGAGAGGAGAGAGGGAGAGAGAGAGAGAGGAAAGAGAGAGATAGAAAGAGAGAGAGAGAGAGAGAGAAAGAGCACTCTCCCCATTGGGGCCTCGTCACACCACAATCCTTTTTCTTCTTTTCCTTCTTCCTGTCAGGATCCTGGTTATGCATGCACCCCACACGTTTTTAAAGCCACTGGGGTGGGATTTGAACAGCTGTTGACTGTGTGGTACCTGACTTTCCTCATACAGTGCATAACCACTGTGCTATGGGACTGGCCTGGGAGGGGACTTTTTAACAGGAACTTGAAGGATGAAAAGGAGGGGACAATTACCCCTTCCCCATTCTAAGGGACACAGTAGCAAACCTTGTGATGTAACATATGCCTTGTGACTGGAATTCACTTCAGTTTTAGAGGGACAAGACTGGGAACAGAGAGGCCAAGCCCGAATTTTTTATAGCTTGTATATGTTTGAATATGAAAGCTTCAATTAATGTTTTAATGCAATTTTCCCTTTTTAAAAAGTTCATTTTTTCTTAGAGAGAGAAAGAAAAACAGGCACTGCCAATAGGAGCTAGCACTGTAATCCACCCCCAATCAGTAGGCCCAGATAACCAAAACATTCAGACACTTTGCATGTTCAGGGAGGTCCCAGGACACAAACCCAGGACCTTTCCCATGTGGGCTTAGTTCCATTATTACTGTCCCACAGCCTGGCCCCCAATTTCTTTATTTTGCCTTCACAAAGACCTTTCTACAAAGGCCACTAAAGATCAGAGAACAACTCAGAAGTTCTTGCTATCCTTAAAAGAAGTTTCTTTTTTTTAATACAATATTAATATTTTATTTATTATTGGTATTATTAAATTTGTCGTAGGACACATGTGCTCTACAAGAGAGAGGTAGAAAGAGAGAATTTGAGAAAGCAAGCCACCAGGTCCGGGACTTGAACCCCATTAACCACATGGGAGTCCAGCTCCTTAACCACCATGCCACTTGCTGGTCTCCTCCTTGAGAGAAGTTCAAACTCTCTACTCCCAAACTGCAGCACCTTTATTTACTCAGAAAACTGAAATGGTGAGAAAGAAATTTCTTTTGTTTTTTCACTTGCCTATTAAGAGGACACATTTTCCTATAAGTCCCAGAGGTTTTCCCTGGGTTATTGGTGTCAATAATTTAAAACCCTGAATTTATGAAGAGCAAAAAAAAGCATTATTTTGGGTTTTAGAGATTGCAACCCAGGAAGCACAGATTAGGGTTCAACTGAAAAAGCATTCCAAGGAGTTCAAGGGAAGAGATTGGTTTTATAGATAGAGAAGGACTGAAGAAAAAATACACAAAGTATACAAATGGATTGACGATCTCAAAATTACTTTGTAGAGGGAACTTTCTAACTTGCTCACTCAGATAGACTGGAATCTTCTGTTTCCACACAATACCAGTCTGTTTTGGCATCTCTCTGTTTCCTTAAAGTTTCAGTTTGAAGTGATTGGTTAGTGTGAAGGACTCCATCTTGGCCCGGTCTGGTCAGGCCAGTGCAGGAGCTTACTCCAGTAATATCCTGCTATAATTTTTATTCAACATTAGTATTAAAGGATTTTTTTTATTTAAGAAAATAAAAAGGCAAAGTCATCACTCTCATGA